CATTCCCCTTTCTAACTGTGCCCGGTTGCTCATTGGCTCTCCTCTGATCCACCTGCTCCTGCCTCTATTTAAGGTGCTTGCATCCATTCATCAGGGGCTGATTCTTCTTCTTCTCTCTACGTAGCCAGTGGTGAGAGTGTTTTTAGAATGCCTTGGTGTTTCTGATTACCTGATCCTGACCTGCCTCTCAACCACTGAGCTAGCTCTGTTGCCTGACCTGGCTTCGGACTCCTGCTTGTTTTCCAGGGCTGCAGCGTCTGGATCACTCTGGGTGGCGCCCACCGCATCTTGTTGGCAGCCCACCGGCTGTATTCTACCTCGTTCTCAGGAAAAGGGTTGAACTGTTAAACGAGGTTGGTGACTCACGCGTTCATAATCATCCATCAGATTTTGGTGCTTACTAACCTGTGGTTCTCTGTTATAGTAAAGGGGCTTTCAACGTTTTCCAGACCAGGGACCCCCAACTGATGGCGAGATGGAGCGGTGACTAGGGCTGGGCGATATAGAAAAAAAGCTTATCGATAAAAAAAAATGCATATTGATCGATATCGATAATTATTGAAAAGATTTGAAACCATATTTTATGTGCAGCTCTGCCTGGACTTTTTATGATATTGCTAAATGATTTAATTTTAATAAAAAACACAAACACAGACTTCGAATTAAATCTTTATTTAACCAACTTTTTTAACCATAACAGAATTGTTTTAAAGAAAAATAACTTAAAAGACCCTGGTTATGTTATTAAATACTGACAAAGAATAAACTAAAGTGACCAGAAAGGTGACCAAAATAAATATAACAAATAAATAAATGCACCGCCGCCGCCGCTGCCGCCCCCGTTTCCTGCTTTAACCTGAGTTATTACTTTGAAGTTTCTGGCCCCTCAGCATTTTTCTCTCAATTGTTAGAACTACGTGGGAAACTGCCCAGAACTGAAAATATATATATATTTTCCGAAGATTCCTCGGAGGAGAGCCGCACCAGGGCCTACACAGCTCGCACTCCTGCGGGTGTGATCGGCTGAGATGATAAAAAAAGTTGGTTGTGTTATCAGACTTGGTTTCCACTGGTTCCCGACACATTTTACAGATGACTGTGGTTTGTTTTTTGTCCGACTTGCCATGACCGAAATACTGCCAAACTGGCGAACTACAAAAACCTTTCTTTGAAACAATTTCCTCCGCCTCTCCTTGCTGCGACATCTTCATGTGCTCTGTGTTGTGGTTTGAGAGGGCGGCGCTTTGTGACGGCGTGCCTGGGTCCACGATTGCGATTGGTTGGGAGGAAGTTGTGATTAGCATAAACCTACATGCTAGGCTACAATGAGAAGGAAGGAAAACTGTGTTTCTTTTTTATCGAATTTTATCGACCCTCTTTTTTTCTATTGCGCCACCCGTCTATCGATCGATATATATCGTTTTTGAATTATCGCCCAGCCCTAGCGGTGACCCCCTAATTATATGTATTGTAGGAAATTGTGTTCTATCAAACTGGTCCTATAGTCACTCTATTACAGATGGAGTAATGTAATGAAAGTAATTTTCTCCCTGGGATTATTAAAGTATTTCTGATTCTGATTCCTGGTTGATGGGACAGGTGTTGTGAATGTCATTTGGCTCCATTTATCTGTTTACTTCAGTTTGTTCAATTCATGTTAATGTGTATTTAAAAACATATCAATTAATGGAAATAATTGTAGGGGGAATATAAAAAAAAAAGTCTAATCAACGAAAACTTTCGTGACCCCCATGCAGAACCTCCAAGGACCCCCTAAGGGTCGCAGACCCCCTGTTGAAGACCTATGTTATAGAGGTACCCTCCTTAGACTCCCTGGCCGCTACTACTCACATCTACCAGTTTTAAATAAATGCTTTTGAAATTATTCCATTGTCTAGTCTACTGGGTCCCTCTGTTCTCATTCATGACAGGGGTTAGTTTTTCTCCAGCAGGAAATGAACAGAGATGGCAAAAGTACTCACTTTCCGTACTTGAGTAAAAGTACAGATAAAAGTACAGATAAAGTACAGATACTTTTTTCATGCCGTTGCCTACATTTTAAATGGATGTCTGCCAATAGGACTAGATCTCCGTTGTGTTCATTTTCAATCATCTCGTCGTCCATGCTACTATGCTAACGCCACCGCCACCAAGCTGCAATGATTTCCCGTTAATGAATACCGCCGAATCTGTCGATTCATCTTGTAGTGGTGCGTCAAATGCAATGTAGATTCCCATCCAATTAGATTGAATTTGGTATTGATGACGTGAAAAATAATAACGGTAACTCCATTGAAATGATTCAAAACTAAAGTAACAAGCCAATTTTTTAAAATGGAAGGAGTAGAAAGTACAGATATTTGTGTAAAAATGTAAGGAGTAGAAGTAAAAAGTCGCCATAAAAATAAGTAGTAAAGTAAAGTAAAAATATCATAAAAATCTACTTGAGTACAGTAACAAAGTATTTGTACTTCGTTAATTCCCATCTCTGGAAATGAAGGAATCATCATCAAGGATCATCCCCTCCAGTAATATATTATTTGTTTGATTTTACACTTTTCTAACACTTAAAATGAACTGCATCCAAATCTATTCTGCTTGTTGATGAAATGACAGATTGTCAATAGTGGGTGATTTCAGTTTTCATGCTCTTCATGAAAAATAGTTTAACAAAAGTATTTCAACAAAAATCAGAGTGAATTGAGGTCAAATTAAATCTCAAAACTATATGTGTATGTTTGTTAAAAAAAAAAAAAAAAGTTGAGTTTCTCTTGACAAAATAAAAACAAAACATCCTTTTGGGGGGAATTCTTGAGAAAAAAAACTATAAAACGATGGGAAACTAAATAATCTTTGTAACTTTAAAGGAATAGTACACCCAAAACATGATTAGCCTTCATTTTCTACTCACCCCCATGCTGAACAACACTCTGGAGTACTTTTTTGATATCTCAAATGCATCTGGAGATCTGGGAGGCTTCTTGCTGTCTGCTGACATTCAAATAATGGAGGTCTATGGCGCCCGAGGCAGAAAGGTCCATAAAAGTCCACAAAAAACGTGTCAATATTCCTCCATACTGCTCGTCCAATGTATTCCAAGTGTCCTGAGTGGGTAGCATCCAGAATTTACTCGAAACGAAGTCATTTAGAATGTTTTTAGAGCATAAACAGTAGTTTATAGGATTTCCTAAAAGCGCGTTCACGAGTCTACGGAAACCGTGGCAGACCAAACCAGATGAAAGTGCGCATTCAGCTCAGCAAAGAACTCATGCTCTTCCTCAACACTGAAGTCCTCAGACATTTTTCTTTCGTTGTTTCTTTCTTTACACAGGTAAACAGCACATTTCTTTTTCTACGCTTGCATTATCGGCAGAGCAGACGCTGAATGCGCACTTTCATCTGGTTTGGTCTGCCGGCTTCCGTAGAGTCGTGAACGCGCTTTCAGGAAATCCTATACACTACTGTTTATGCTCTAAAAACATTCTAAATGACTTCGTTTCGAGTAAATTATGGACGCTACCCACTCAGGACACTTGGAATACATTGGACGAGCAGTATGGAGGAATATTGACACGTTTTGTGTGGACTTTTATGGACCTTTCTGCCTCGGGCGCCATAGACCTCCATTATTTGAATGTCAGCAGACAGCAAGAAGCCTCCCAGATCTCCAGATGCATTTGAGATATCAAAAAAGTACTCCAGAGTGTTGTTCAGCATGGGGGTGAGTAGAAAATGAAGGCTAATCATGTTTTGGGTGTACTATTCCTTTAACTTTGCACTCTAACCTTTGCTGGGATGGAAGAGAGTTTGGAGTTACCAGACTGTCAAGAATGGAAACAAGGCTACAAAAATAAACAAGGCAAATGTGTAAATTCGCACCTTTGGGAATGAGCCCCTTCACGGTCTCAATATTTAATCTGAATCGAGCCAGAAAGGTAGGGAGATAATCAGTTTGTTTGAATTAATGAAATGAAAACATTCAAATGTGTTAATAATTCAAGAAACATGCCGTGATGATTTAAATTAGGTGGACTATGATGGAATATGAGGGTGAAGGTTTTTTGCCATAGTCTTATTAAACTGAGGAGGTGGGAAAATGTAGACTTACGGTGAAAAAAGCAAAATATGAGTATTTTAATAATGTTTTTATTAATGTTCATGCTTCTAATACAAGACGGGGAGTTTTTTTTTTTTTACACTATCTTGGAAATATTCTATGTAAATGTTATGCTGAAAGTTTTCTATTTTTGTACAGAAAATTATTAATTAGATACTCATCCAGCTTTAAAACTTTTTAAACACATTCAATTAATGTATGTCCGGAAGTTGACGTGTGGAGAGAAATGCATATTCAAATACGACAATTTACATCAGCCGGGAGTACAGGTAATTCTTTTTCTGCTACTGGGTTGGACAGAATATACAGTTTTAGACATAATATTGACATTTTCCAAAAGTTAAATATTCTTGTATTGTGGTTATTGGCAATCTTAAACATAGATCTGCTTATTGGCGTATAAACAATGCTCTGTTGTTATATGTCAACATTAAAAAGGCATTCAGTTTTTTCTGGGAGATTCACCATTTTAGAAAAGATTATTTTGTATCTTTAAGGCAGTGTAGGGATGGTGGTAAAACTGAAATCCAATAATTCTGTCGGCAGTACACTGTCTCATCTGATTTAACCAGATCATATTTCTTGAATATTCTGCTTTCGCATCACTTCAGCTGTTTTCTCGATGAAACCAAATAACATCTTAAAGATTGTGTTATTTTCTGTTATGTGGACTGTACGGCAAATTAATCAGATCGTGAATAAAAACAGTTTTTGCTTTAAACACATTTATTGCTGCTTGTCTTAGAGACCCAGATTACAATAAAGAGAACAAAAGGCTTTCCATTACCGTATAAAAATAAACTAAGACAACAAACAGCCACATAAACAGAACAGAGCTGAGCGTTCAAACAAAAAAAATATTCAGGTATATGGCAATGAATCAGTGTTTGAAATAACTTAGTTTTAAATAAAAAACAGAGTAGGATGAAAACATTGCACTTGCACATGTCAGCCACATGAAGGCTAAACATCCTCTGGTGTCCATTTAAACTACCTAAACTGCACTCTGTTCCTCTTCACATCTGCCTCACCCGCTGCTCCAACAGCTCCAGCTGCCGGGCCACCTCATTGGGCAGGTCATCGTTCACTTGCGTGGTGAAATACTTCCTCACCTCCCCCACTTCCTTCTGCCAGAACTCCTGATCCAAGGAGAACAGCTCACTCAGATCCACCTTCCCCTCTAGGCCTTGGAGATTCAGGGAATGGCAGCAGGGTAAGTAGCCCACTGCAGAAGGCATGGCACCAGTATTGCCATTCACTCGCCGGAACATCCAGTCCAACACACGGATGTTGTCTCCAAAACCAGGCCAGAGGAAACCAGCTGTGGGGCTCTTTCTGAACCAGTTGACATGGAAGATCTTGGGCAGCTTGGCACCAGGGTGGTCAGCCATGGACAGCCAGTGAGAGAGGTACTGGCCAAAGTTGTAGCCAAAGAAGGGGCGCATGGCAAAGGGGTCGTGCATGATTACCTTGCCTAGATAAAGGAAGTAAACAAGAAAGTGAGTCTGGGAACGCAGACTGTAAAATACTGAAATGTGGGAGATGTTCCAGGTTAGTGACTGACCTTTGTGTTCAGCTGCTGCAGTGGCTTCTGACCTCATTGCTGCACCAACAAATACTCCATGCTGCCAGCTGAAGGCTTCATACACCAGAGGAACACCTGAAGGGAACCAACGTCAATATACCATATCTACTGGTCATTTTAATTCTGTCTTTGTGTGTTTTTCCTCACCTTCTGGTCTCCTGCCCCCAAAAATGATAGCCTCGATGGGGACTCCTTCTGGTGATTCCCACTGTGGGTCAATTATAGGGCACTGACTTGCTGGAGTGCAAAATCTAGAGTTGGGGTGAGCGCATGGTTCCCCTACAAAGAGGGACAAGAAAGTTATTGTGAATCTGATGCTCCTGGTGAAGCTCTGCAGTCTGAGGCTATTTGGCATTGGATAGAATTCTTGAAGTAATTGATTACTTAATTAAATCGATTCTGTATTTTTGATAGAATCTATTTTTCTTTGGTGCCTCCAACCTCCTTACCATCTTCTGAGCTCCACGGCTTGTTCTTCCACGATGTCAGTGTGACTCCCTCAGGCAGTTCCTGGTCCATTCCCTCCCAGTAAATTCCACCATCGCTGGTTTCTGCCACATTGGTGAAAATGGTGTTCTTGACAATGGTCGCCATGGCGTTGGGGTTGGTTTTAGCTGATGTACCAGGTGCAACACCAAAAAAGCCATTTTCTGGGTTGATTGCTCGCAAGTTGCCTAAAAAGAAAAGAGTGGATACTGTTAGATTATAATTTCTAATTTTTCACTGGTGATTGCCTGTGAAAGCTCTGTGAAAAAAACTTCCTACCCTGGTTGTCAAATTTCATCCAGGCGATGTCATCTCCTACACACTCAACCTTCCAGCCAGGTAATGTTGGACAAAGCATGGCCAGGTTTGTTTTACCACAGGCACTGGGAAAGGCTGCTGCCATGTACTTCTTCTCTCCTGCAGGGTTGGTGACGCCCAAGATCTGGACAACAGGAGATGAATTAGAATCGGTTGGTTGGTGGGAACAGCTTGTGTCCTACTGTTTTATTATTTATCCTTTACTTACCAGCATATGCTCAGCCAGCCAGCCTTCCTCCTTGGCGATGCGTGAGGCAATGCGCAGAGCAAAGCACTTCTTTCCCAGGAGGGAGTTTCCACCATAGCCACTGCCAAACGACATGATCTGTCTGCGGTCAGGGATATGGGCAATAAGCGTCTGCTCAGGGTTGCAGGGCCAGTTATTCACCAGGGGCTCTGAAAAAAACCCAGACATTTTTAAAAGATGCAAATACATAAGCCCTTGCAGCAACAGCAAGGAGAAACAAGCAAGCAACGTGTCCTAAGTGATTCTTTGGACATACTTCTAAGTGGTAGAGGGCAGCCAACGGAGTGTAAACAGCGGACAAACTCCCCGTTTCCCAGCGCAGAGAGAACAGCCTTCCCCATTCGAGTCATCACCCTCATGCTCGCTACCACATAGGGGGAATCTGTCAACTCGATGCCAATCTTGGAGAGGGGGGACCCTACAGGCCCCATGCTGAAGGGAATAACATACATGGTGCGACCTGGGGACAGGAAGGTTAACACATTGTTCACAATCACCTTTTCTTTACACACTAGATTCAGAATGGACACAGGTTGTAGTAGCACCTTTCATGCAGCCGGGGAACCGTTGAGTCATGGCTTTGTCAAACTCGTCCGGGGACATCCACCTCCCCAGTTGGCTGGTTGCACCCTCCAGTGGATTGGGCACCGTCTCCCTCTGATTATGGGTCACGATCACTGTTTTGCTCTCCACCCTAGCCACATCTCTGGGGTCCGTTCTGGCCAGCCAGCTGTAGAATCAGAAATATCAGGGATGAGTACAAGATAATAAAATACATGTTTAACCTAGTTTAGAGGGTAAATTCTTGATGCTCTGCTGAATCAACAGGACTTTCTGGTTTCCAGGACTGTGCAGTGTTTGCTATGCATATTGTCAAGCAAAACAACTGCTGACGACTAAATGAAGTAAAGAGCCTTTAACAAAAACACAACTGGGCAATTATGATTCCACTGAATCTTTGCTGCAAAACAGCTGAACTACTGACAGGGGAAAATTCCTCAGGCTTTAGTTTTTCAAGTCTTCTTTCTTTGCATCTTGTTGATTAAAAACTAAACTTTGGAAAGAGAAAATATCAACGCACCAGTTCTCATATTTGGGGAGCTTCTTGATCACCCCTTGCTCCTCCAGCTGGGTTAGGATGGCTCGGTTTTCCTGCTCTGATCCATCACAGATGTGGAGGGACTCTGGCTGGCACAGGGACACGTTGGCCTCAACAAACTCCCTGACTGACGGGCTGAGGGCACCGAGCTCACCCTGCAAAACCCTAAGACCGTTCTGGTTCTGTGACTGGATTTGAGGAGGCATATTGAAGCAGTCTAGAGAAACAGCGAGACAAAAGACTGCAAGAGAAACTGAGAATATCTGGAAAGAAGGTAAGGAAAGTAAAAGAAGGAGTACAGGTTTGAAAAAGAAGGAAAAAAGAAAAGCAACAAAATATGAGAAAAGGTTAGATTATTATCACAAATGTTCAGGTTCTTGTATATATCTAACATAATTACTTATTCTATAGCATCTTTCCAGAAATATACAAAAGAGGTTCATCTCATGTTACCTTCAGCGGCTTGTTTGGGTCAAAGAGCCGTTAGCTTGGCCTCATCAGCGGAGGTTTCGTGGTGATGGTTGTTCGCAGTCTTCAGGACTCTCGGTCCGTTGTGTCTTCTCTGGAGAAGGTGTGCTCCTTTTATACCTTGGGATTCCCCTCTGAGGGGGGGGTTAGAGGGAGGCGTGTTTGCCTACCCTTGTTCTCCTGAAAAAGACACTGTGTCACAATAATGAATAATGATTAACAGGCAGCAGGACGTCATTTCATCACGTAACCGGTTCCCCCCAGCTGAAAGCTGATAACAGCTTTAGATCTGGGGCTGAGGATCTGGCAGCTTTCTGCTACTTAATGCTGTGACCCTCTAGAAAGTCTTTCCTGTGTCATGGGAGAAGAGCTATTTTGATGCAATAAATAAATAGATTTTATAGGTGCAAAAAGTAGCTCCAAGTCTGATCCAAATACTCGTCTTGGTGGAAAAGTCAATTAAAGCTGAATAAGATGTTCTGTAGTCAACAGCTTTCTGCACTCTTGCTGCTTTTGCAAAAATGTTGAACTTTGGCACCATGGGTGATGCAAGTCCAGGGTTCGCTCTCATGAGTCTGCGGTGTGACGTTAGCAGCCTCTTTCGTATTGGCTGGCATCAGGGGGCTTGATCTGGTGTTAAAGGTTCAGCCAGGGGTCGGCCCGTGCATGTGCAGGAATGCATGCGCCGCAACTTAGCTGAAGATAAAGGGTAATGGCTAGGCAGGGTTTGTCTTTGTTTTAATAGAGGGGCCATTTGCATTTGATTAAGACGACCTTTAGGTTTAACATGTTCAACAGTAAAAATGAATACAGGAACATCCTCTGTAACTGGATCAGATGTGGACAAAAGTTACTGGGCTGGACTTTCATTGCTGTTCAGCATTTGCTTTTATCCTAAAAATCCTTATCTTTGATGACTTCACCTAATATTAGAAAAAACTATCCGAGCTGAGTGGCCGGAACTCCACATACAAAAGAACTAAATTAATTCATTTTTTTGGCTTTCTACAGCTATAAAGACAACGCTTAATCATTTTAAATTAATGCTTTGCTTAAAAATATGTTTACATATGAAAGCCAGGGAGGTAAAGTCATGTTAATCACTTTTTCCTGCACCTTTAGCACAATGAAACCCTCTGCAGCAGGCACGTGCAGAGGGGGGGGCTAAGGGGGCTTGAGCACCTGCCCCTTTTGCTCCATGATCCCAATGTGCCTTTTTTTTTTTTTTTTTTTTTTTTTTTTTTATTTGACACATGTATAAAATTATTATTATTATCTTTTTTTGGCAAAAAAAACAATACAATAAGCCCTCCGGTCACATTGTTACCTTTGACCTTTTGCCGGTGACGACGCACTTGCCTCTCGCACAGTCAGATAAGGCGGCTAACTGCGGAGCTAAAGGTAGCGAATATTCCACATTACACTGTGGCCGCTGCTCATTTGGCCCTAAGCAAGATCAACCTTGATCGGACGGATGGCTATGTCTTCAGTCTGCACCGCCTCTCCAATGTCAACCTGAATAGAGATGTAAGTGAAACCAAATGAGCCCCATGGATGATGCACTATTGTTTGATCTAAAACACTGTTTACTCTGTGCTTTTAGTCTTTTACATTGAAAATTTTGTTTTTTAATTCACAAAAAATTGTTCTGTAATGATTACAGAACAATTTTTTTGTGAATTAAAAAACATAATTTTTGGTAAAAATACTGGAGTAGGCTTCCTACTTGTCAGACAATGGAAAACTTTGAACGTTGTATAATTTCTCTACTTTAGCAAAGAGTAGCGGTTTAAACGGAGGAAAGTAGTTCTTTCTCTGAAGAACTACTGAGCGGGAGGAGACAGCCAGGTGAGGAAAAGCTGTTCTTATCTATCGATTCAGTATTTTTATCATAAAGACATTAGGCTGTTGTTCTTGTGCTATGAGCTAGCCGCTAGCTAATGACTTTGCTAGCAAAGCAAGATAACTAAAAAGCTTCCCTGTGTCGTCAATGATAGTAGGACATTCTTCAGTATTACTTATGCAATAGGGGCACATCGCCCGTCAAAAACCTATCATCTCCATAATGGATATATGTCTGATTTTCTAATTTCCTTTGCTGCATGATGTACATTTCATTTATTCTAGCGTTAGGTAAATGTATCTTGAAGGAGAACTCATCCAGAACTACCATGATAGATATATGATAGATATAATGTATGAAGATGGTGAAAACAAAACTGCGCAGCTTATGCAAGGAGGATCGGTTGTCAGACCTTCTTTTGTTGGCAATCGAGAAGGATGTGCCAATCATTCACTGTGAGGTTATTAACATTTTTAAAGACATGGCTAACAGAAAACTGCTGCTGTGAACAAAAGAGGACAAAAATAGCAAAAATGCTTAAAAGTTGGAAATTTGTTTTTAAACAGTTAAATCACCATGACGGAAAATAAGTTTTTGGATCATAATCTTGGATTTAGTTTTGGGGAAAAAGAAAGGCAAGAGACTGAAATACATAAGACATTGACCTTCACTCAACACAGAAAAGATGAGACAATGAGGAAAAAAAGAAAAGAGAAACTGACAAGAAAAAACGAAGAGGAAAGATTGAAGAAAATGTATATAGGTACTTACAAAATACACTAAGACACAAACAGAGTAGGCTTTTCTCATGGTGACATGCATTAATAAAATGTTTGCTTTTGTTCTTTTTTTTTCTGCAGTTCCACGTTAAAGTTTGATGCAGCAGCTCTGCTTTTCTGAATGGACCGTCTCCATCTCCACTGTCAGTACAGCAAACCAGGCAGACATTCTTTTTATAGATTGCAGTACACTAAAAGGTTGCATTGTGCCCTTGTATGCATTTTTAACAGTTTAATTCTGTAAAGACAAAATATGTTTGGTGGTCCAAAATATTTTACATATGCATAGTTCTATGTTATATGCAGAGATTTCCCTTAGCTTTTATTGTATGTCTCACAATTTTGTAATTTATCATTGTTCATTAAACTCTGAAAGCTATGTGACTTTGTTAATATTCTGTCCTAAAATGCGATAAGATGTGTCCTTTTTTTTTTTTGAGCACCTGCCCCTTTAGTGGTCTCTGCACGGCCCTGCTCTGCAGTTCTAGCATGGTTGAAAGGGTTTTCTCATTCTAAATGGAAGCCGGTACAGGGTGCTTTTATATTTGCAAAATACCATTTTATTAAAGATAACAACCAGAAAAAGCAGCCAGTCAGTTTACTGAAACAAAATGCAGAAATAAAAGACCAAACGTCCTTGACTTTGGTTAAGAGGAGTACAGCAGAGTATTTACATTACAATATTAACAACCCATGTTACTGCAAAAATAATCAGCAAATGATCAGCCCTCCACCACCGTGCTTAGAGTTTTCTGTGAGGTGGGGTGAACCTCCGTTTGGTTTTCTCCAAACATTGTGCTCAGCATTAAGTCAGATGCGTAAAAGTTTAAAAAAAACAATCCACTGGACTTGGTTTCCAACATTTGAAGACGTTTCGCTACCGCTCTTGGAGCCTTCAAATCTTGGAAACCAAGTCCAGTGGATTGTTTTTTAAACTTTTACGGAATGACTATGACCTGGATGACTAGGAATCTTCATCAGCATATTAAGTCCAATCCAACTTACAGATTGTTCCACACTTTGTGCATCAAATGTGCATCAATGTTTTCATTTTACAAGGAAGAAAGAGTCACAGAAATGGGTTTTGGACTCAAAATGTCTCCCAACACTGTTTTACTTTGTCTTTGGATGTCTGTAGCTAAGAATAGTAGCACATCAGCTGCTTTGTAGGTGACAGATACATTTCAAACAAGCATGTGCCGTACAAAACCTCACCTTCATCTCTTAATACATTCTGCTGAGGTTACAGAATTTCTTGGCCAGACCAAAGGCTACACATTTACTGCAGGATGTGTTTTTTATGAGCATAAAGCGTCAGCGACAGCACTCAGTGGGTTGAGTAATACCTGGAACAGAGGAAAAGTCCAGGGAGCAAATCTACAGTACAGATCTAGTAGCATTGCAATGCTAGCAGAGAGTCTATGGATCCATTTCTAAAAAAAATACTTGACTAAAGATCATCACTTAAAGCAGCTGATTCATGTTGTTTTATCAAGGTCTGAAAGAAGACCCAAAATGTTCCTTTATGGTGAACCTGGAGTACCTGGATCACCAGTGTCAGTGTCTAAAGGAAGAGCTGTTCTGTTGGGTCGCAAAGTGCCAACCCAGAACTGTAAAGGGTGAATGCTCACAAATGGAAACCTTCAAGCACAAATAAAGGTCACAATTGTCACTACTGACCAGCCAAACACCTTCTGTTAAAAAAAAGTTATGGTCAGATAAAGCAAAGGTTGAAGCATTTTGAGTCACCGGTTACATTTATTTTGCAAATGATTGATGTTCTGCTAAAGCTAAGTTTCCCTGGTTTGGTGTTTCCACTGAATAAAAAAAATGGATGGAAACACAAAATGATTCCACACTGATTTGATGGTCACTGGAAATGTAGCTAATGACATTCCACATCGCAGGGGTGAAGGTAGGCAAAGCAGAAGTTAGAGCAAGGTACTGCTAGCATCATGACAGTATGGTTCCAGTACATTTCCGTATTAAGGAGGGAGGGCGACTTCCAAAAACTACCCAGTTGTCACTTGAACTATTTTAAATCAGCAGCAAACAAATGTAGACTCTCATGCCATTATTCAGTGCCAATATTTTTTTTTCCTTGTATCTACATCATGGCATACATGGGTTTGTGACCAGCTTCAGACACGTCCGTCCCCAGAAAACACGTCTCTAAACTTCATTAGTTCTTAGTTGGTGTAGAAGAGAAAAAAACTATATGAAGCTTGTTAAAGATTGTATTTATGGTATTTCAGGTTGGCGGCATCTTCCTCTGGTGCCAGCAGAGGGGTAGGCTGGGAGGAGTTCGCTCAGCAGTTCTTTTTCAGTTACTTAGAGCTTGGACTATTGTAATTCTTTACTATCAGGAAGTCCACAAACTGTAGTTAAAAGCCTTCAGCTGATCCAAAATGCTGCAGCCAGAGTTCTGATGAAAATGAAAAAGAGAGATCATATCTCTCCTATCCTGGCTTCTCTTCATTGGCTTCCTGTTAAATCAAGAATAGAATTTAAAATCCTCCTTCT